AAAATTTCAATTACAAAAACTGTAATTTTTTTAATTTGAAAAAAATAAATTTGTAGTTAAGTGAACTGCAATTCCTTTGACCCATCACCTAGGTCAGGAATTTTTTTAATTTGTTAATAACTAAGACGTGTAAAGTTAAATCAATAAAATGATCAAACCATAATAGTGGAGAGGATTACTCATTTTGAGAGCACTGATCCTGTACCAATAAAAGCTGATTCATATCTCACAAGACTATAAATTAGTAGCAACATCCTATTGTTGATTACTTCTGAATCCCAGTAGACAACCAATATGGCTATGCATACATTAAGGTCATTTTCCTGTTTCTGTGTCTGTTGTCTCCTCCTCGTAGCAACTTTTATGTCTGGAGTCAGTGCCGATAACAATGCACAAAAGTTCCATTACTTCTGTAATCATAATAAAGATAGAGGAAACTACACAGCCAACAGCACGTATGAGACCAACCTCAACACTCTTTTGTCCACTCTCACTTCCAACACAGAAATCGAGTACGGTTTCTACAATCTCACAAAGGGCGAAAACACTGACCAAGTCTACGCCATTGGGCTGTGTAGAGGAGACGTTAAGCCATATGAATGCCGCAACTGCCTTGAACATTCCAGAGGCAATCTCAGTCAGCTTTGTCCAAATCGAAAGGAAGCAATTGGTTGGTACGAGGACGAGCAGTGCATGTTGCGCTACTCAAACCGCAAAATATTGGGTCTTATGGAAACTGAACCTGAGTATTTTATGTGGAATGTAATTGATGCCCCGCAAGTGGAGGAGTTCAATAAAGTGGTAAAGGACTTGCTTGATGGGTTGAGGAGCAAAGCTGCATCAGGAGACTCTCGTACCAAATATGCTACAGCAAATGCAACTGAACCAGATAACAAATTCATTTACGGGCTTGTGCAGTGCACGCCTGATTTGTCTGGACCCGACTGCGAAAATTGCTTGATTCAATCCATCAATGAAATCACAAATTGTTGCCACGGTAAAATAGGAACTAGAATTGTTAGACCCAGTTGCAATCTGAGATATGAAACTTCCTCTCCCTTCTTTGGGGCTCAAGCATATACACCATCACCGTCACAGTCACCGTCACCGTGGCTCTCGCCACCTCCTATGGTCACTACTAACACTTCCGCGGAAGGTAGCTTATTTCCATTTCTAATAAGAATTTAATTAATGATGATCAATAGCGTAAAATAATTATTATTTAATAACAAATCAGTGTTAACTTTTATTATTATAAAAATTAATTAACCGATGATAATGTAAATGTGTAGTTCTTATTTTAATTATATGATATCCCTTAGATGTATATTTCTAGTCACTGGATAATTGTGGTTTATTATGCAGATAAGCGCCATGCGTCAGGAAGTAATTATGCAGATATAGTCTCGTCCATACTGTTGTTTTGTTGTTTGTTGTATCCTTTTCTGTTTTTGTTTGAGTGAGGAAGCCAGGAGAAGATGTTTTGAGAGTAATTCTACTTAGCATATATAGCTTCTTCATCAGGAGAATCTTGTCCTAAATATGCTGCAGCAAGTTAGTTCAGTTGTAACTTTGGAGACAACTTTCCCCTTTGTGTGTGTAATTTTGTAGACTTCATTTTGATTAATTAACGACTCAAAACTGTCAAATTAAGTTTCAGAATAATAAAGGAAAAAGTACAATTTGAATCTGATATGAAAAATAAAGAATTTACAAAATAAGAATAGATATATATTAACAATGAAGTTCATAAGCACGGACAACTCTTACGTAAGACTATAAGTAACAACTAACATTCCCCGTCTAAAAAGAAAAAAAAAATTAGTTAACTGGAAGTAGTTCAAAACATTTTAACTAACTTATTAAGAGATAATTGATACGACCATCTTTATGTGAGCCATTAAATACTTTAGTTCAATAGACATTCTATTCTATTAGAGCATGTAAGCTATTCTTTTTTCTAACAGAGTTTAATATTTTTTTCTTAACTAAACTTAACCTTTTATCAAAAGTTTAATTTCTAAAATACAACTAAGCTATTTGTCTTAACTAAATTAACATATAATCAACTTCATCAGATAAGAAAAAAATAATATTTTGGATGAATGAATTGTTAGGTAAACTTGAATGGAATAAAGTAAAGGATACTTAATCTAATATGTTTAGAAGTTTTGTAGAGTAAAATGATAAGAAATTTATTATATTGTAAGAGTCAAGAAAGTTATCAAAGCTCTCAAAGTTTGGTGTTAGAAATCCAGAATGCTAGCAAATATTGAAGTTTGGTTGAAAGCCTTTATTATTTAATGAATACAAGGCCAGACTTACTATAAAATGTTAGAATAGTAAGTTGAAATATGAAGGAGTCATGATTGGAAAACCTTGAGATATGTCCGGGGAATATGTCACTCAACCTAGGTCGAACAACTCCCACCTAGTAAGATACTTAGACAATGATTGCACAAAGATGGGCAACACAATGTTAACTTGGTTCTCAAATAAGCAACCAATAATAACATTGTCTACGTGTAAAGTTGAGTATGTTACAACATTATGGATTGTGCAATATCACTTAGAAATCTTCTAAACAAATTAGAAAATATTTCAAGTAGATAACAAGTTAGCAACTTAGGTTACAAAAAACTCGGTCAACTATGAGAAGAACAATTACATTGTACATTTTATTTCATTTAAGAGCATGTCAAAGAAGACATTATAGAGACAGTGTATATAGGAAGTTGTAAACCAGTTGTAGATATATTTACAAAGTTATGTTATTCAATAATTACAAAAAGCTAAGTGGAATAAATGATGGAAAAAATATTTAAATTTACAAGTTTTGTTAGATAAATTTAAATAAAATAAAATTAAATGAGTTGTTTTATGAATAGTTAATTTGTTTGAATATTTTGTCTCTGCTATACTGCAAGGGTTAAAAATTTATTGGTTAATAGATAATAATTGTTTTGATAGCAGAATTTTAGACTTAGATATGAAAAATAAAAAATATAATATATAAATTATAATGTTTGATTGCATAAAATACATATAAAATACGTGAATAAATTATTCACAAAAGNATATTTCTAGTCACTGGATAATTGTGGTTTATTATGCAGATAAGCGCCATGCGTCAGGAAGTAATTATGCAGATATAGTCTCGTCCATACTGTTGTTTTGTTGTTTGTTGTATCCTTTTCTGTTTTTGTTTGAGTGAGGAAGCCAGGAGAAGATGTTTTGAGAGTAATTCTACTTAGCATATATAGCTTCTTCATCAGGAGAATCTTGTCCTAAATATGCTGCAGCAAGTTAGTTCAGTTGTAACTTTGGAGACAACTTTCCCCTTTGTGTGTGTAATTTTGTAGACTTCATTTTGATTAATTAAAGACTCAAAACTGTCAAATTAAGTTTCAGAATAATAAAGGAAAAAGTACAATTTGAATCTGATATGAAAAATAAAGAATTTACAAAATAAGAATAGATATATATTAACAATGAAGTTCATAAGCACGGACAACTCTTACGTAAGACTATAAGTGACAACTAACATTCCCCGTCTAAAAAGAAAAAAAAAATTAGTTAACTGGAAGTAGTTCAAAACATTTTAACTAACTTATTAAGAGATAATTGATACGACCATCTTTATGTGAGCCATTAAATACTTTAGCTCAATAGACATTCTATTCTATTAGAGCATGTAAGCTATTCTTTTTTCTAACAGAGTTTAATATTTTTTTCTTAACTCAACTTAACCTTTTATCAAAAGTTTAATTTCTAAAATACAACTAAGCTATTTGTCTTAACTAAATTAACATATAATCAACTTCATCAAATAAGAAAAAAATAATATTTTGGATGAATGAATTGTTAGGTAAACTTGAATGGAATAAAGTTAAGGGTATTTAATCTAATATGTTTAGAAGTTTTGTCAGTTTTAGAGTAAAATGATAAGAAATTTATTATATTGTAAGAGTCAAGAAAGTTATCAAAGCTCTCAAAGTGTTAGAAATCGAGAATGCTAGCAAATATTGAAGTTTGGTTGAAAGCCTTTGTTATTTAATGAATACAAGGCCAGACTTTCTATAAAATGTTAGAATAGTAAATTGAAATATGGAGGAGTCATGATACACACATTGGAAAACCTTGAGATATGTCCGGGGAATTATGTCACTCAACCTAGGTCGAACAACTCCCACCTAGTAAGATACTTAGACAATGATTGCACAAAGATGGGCAACACAATGTTGACATGGTTCTCAAAAAAGCAACCAATAATAACATTGTCTACGTTATGTTACAACATTATGGACTGTGCAATATCACGTAGAAATCTTCTAAACAAATTAGAAAATATTTTAAGTAGATAACAAGTTAGCAACTTAGGTTACAAAGAACTCGGTCAACTATGAGAAGAACAATTACATTGATGTACATTTTATTTTATTTAAGAGCATGTCAAAGAAGACATTATAGATAACCGTGTATATAGGAAGTCGTAAACCAGTTGTAGATATATTTACAAAGTTATGTTATTCAATAATTACAAAAAGCTAAGTGGAATAAATGATGAAAAAAATATACAATAAAGTTTTGTTAGATAAATTTAAATAAAATAAAATTAAATGAGTTGTTTTATGAATAGTTAATTTGTTTGAATATTTTGTCTCTGCTGTACTGCAAGGGTTAAAAATTTATTGGTTAATAGATAATAATTGTTTTGATAGCAGAATTTAAGACTTAGATATGAAAAATAAAAAATATAATATATAAATTATAATGTTTGATTGCATAAAATACATATAAAATACGTGAATAAATTATTCACAAAAGCTTGATTTGTTAACATGAATAAGGAGTAAAGAGTGAGGTGCCTTATTAATCACGTATATTACATGATTCATTTGTAAAACTCGAGTAATATGATCTCTAATTCATTAGTTGTCATAAGAATAAGTGTGTTATTATCGAAGAGGAGCATGACTCTCTTGACATAGAAAATGTAGACTTTTAAGAACCCAGAATTGTTGAAAATGAGGGAATATTCATCCAAAAAAATAGAATATAAGTATAAAGTTGAATAAGAGAATTGATAGTATACAATATAATTTTGAATTTATAGGCTTTTGGGCCTAATAATTTTTGTTTATGTACATAAAAAATCACTTATATTTAAACCGGACTATCACCTATCTAATATTTGAACATTTCCCACACACGATTGCTTAAAATAGATAATATTTGAATGAAAGATACAAGAAACATCAAAACCGCGTTTTATTTGAAAAGGGACAACAAAAAGTAGAAGTGGTTGACTTGAGTCTCCCTCAGTCTCAGTCAACATAACTACTCAGTTTTTCTAATAAATAACTTTTCATGAAAAAGTTAAACAAAATATGCCTAAAGAATTAAAAAAACACAATCCTCTCTTAAGGATGTTATTCATTGAAAAATATATCCCTACTTCACATATTATATTTGACTTAGTTGGCAAACCAATTAAACAAAAGCATATCAGAGAAAAACATATAAATTTGAAATGAGTTATACAAACTGCGCATCTGTTTAATAACCAATAAAATGTTATGGTCAAAATTCTTAGCAAATAAAAAATATATAAAATTGAGACACGTAAACTGAAACTTGTCGTTTTCATCGATCTTCATGAATTTTTCTACAGCAGTAACCAATCACGCAAGATCTTTTATTTATTTAAATTTCTTCGGTTGACAAGATTTTGATTTTGCTTGTGACCTTCCATGACATTTCCACAAACACCATGACGGTCTTCTTACTCAACAACCAACAAAGAAGATACATTATAAATTACGCTATTTTATTTTATTTTATTTTATGCATTCCATCAATGGATGTCACTCTTTTAATTAACATGGAATGATAATTGAGAAATTAAATAGAAACTCGCTCATTTCTATACCTTCAATATCGTTCCTGTGTTCATTCTTTACAGAAAGTTCCTCTATCTTGTGTCTTTTTCATAATAAAAAATAAAAAACTGTACAAACGGTAAAGTATATAAAATCATCCAACTTACATTTTAATTGAAGAAATAACAAAAATAGAAAGGTGGAATTATTAAGTCCTCTTCGGGTCAGTCAACAATGCTTAAGAATTTGCTATTGGAAACCTGTTAAGACCAATATTGGTCCCTTCACATCAAGGTTCTACGCACTAAATTGAAAGAGTCTTGCTTTTGGAAAAAAGAAAAACTAAATTTCACACTGGGTACCCAAACAGTGTTATAGCAACCACAGAATTTTGATTCAGCCAATTAATCACTTGACATCCTATGCCAATAAAAGCTGATTCATATCTCACAAGACTCTAAATTGGTAGTAACATCCTATTGTTGATTACTTCTGAATCCTAGAAGACAATCAATATGGCTATGCTAACATTAAGGTATTTTTCCTGTGTCTGTCTCCTCCTAGTAACAATTTTTATGTCTGGAGTCAGTGCCGATAACAATACACAAAACTTCCACTACTTCTGCGATCATACAAACGATAGAGGAAACTACACAGCCAACAGCACCTATGGGACCAACCTCAACACTCTTTTGACCACTCTAACTTCCAACACAGAAATCGAATACGGTTTCTACAATCTCACAAAGGGCGAAAACACTGACCAAGTCTACACCATTGGTCTGTGTAGAGGAGACGTTAAGCCATATGAATGCCGCAACTGCCTTGAACATTCCAGAGGCAATCTCAGTCAGCTTTGTCCAAATCGAAAGGAAGCAATTGGTTGGTACGAGGACGAGAAGTGCATGTTGCGCTACTCAGACCGCAAAATATTGGGTCTTATGGAAACTGGACCTGCGTATTTTGCGTGGAGTTCAATTAATGCAACGCAAGCGGAGGAGTTCAATAAAGTGGTAAAGGACTTGCTTGATGGGTTGAGGAGCAAAGCTGCATCAGGAGACTCTCGTACCAAATATGCTACAGCAAATGCAACTGAACCAGATAACAAATTCATTTACGGGCTTGTGCAGTGCACGCCTGATTTGTCTGGACCAGACTGCGATAACTGCTTGCTTCAATCCATCAATGAAGTCCCAAATTGTTGCCATAGTAAAATAGGAACTAGAATTGTTAGACCCAGTTGCAATCTGAGATATGAAACTTCCTCTCTCTTCTATGGGGCTCAAACATATACACCACCACCACCACCCACACCCTCACCATCACCATCTTTTTCGCCACCTTCTATGGCCACTACTAACACTTCCGCAGAAGGTACTTGTCAAATTATGCTTATTTCCACTTCTACTAAAAGTTTAATGATGATTAATAGCGTAAAATAATTATTATTTCATAACAAATCACTGTTAGCTTTTATTGTTATAAAATTTAATTAACCGATTATAGTGTAAATGTATAGTTCGTTTTTTAATTATGTAATATCCCTTAGATGTATATTTCACGTCACTGGATTATTCTGGTTTATTATGCAGATAAGCGCGATGCGTCAGGAAGTACTTCTGCAGATATAGTCTGGTCCATACTGTTGTGTTGTTTTGTTGTGTCCTTTTCTGTTTTTGTTTGAGAGAGAGGAATGTTTTGAAAGTAATTCTACTTAGCATACATGGCCGCATCATCAGAAGAATCTGGTCGTAAATATGCTGCAGCAACTTCATTTGTAACTTTGGAGACAACTTTCCCCTTTGTGTGTGTAAACTTTTATTGTTTTTAATTTTGTAAACTTCATTTTAAGGAATAATACAATTATTAGAAAAAATATATTTGTATCTGTAAAAGAAAAAAAAAAGAAATTAAAAGGTAAAATATAATAAATATAAAGTGAGTTTAAAAGTTTGTTTGGTAACAAATATAGTACATTCAGAATAATAAAGGAAAAGTAAAAAATCTCTATAAATCTGATATGAAGAATAAAGAATTTACGAAATAAAAATAGAAATGAGTAATGTTATGGTATATTAACAATTAAGCTCACAAGTATAGACAAGTGTTATATATAAGCCTATAACGTGTTACAAGTCAGTTACTTAATTGGAAGTAGCTCAAAACATTTTAATTAACTTAACAAAAGATAATTGATACTAGACGGTCTTTATTTGCTTCATTTAATACTTTTGTCCAGTACTCTCTCTCTCTCTCTCTCTCTAATGCTTAGGTTAAACACATACAAGGATGAGTACAAATGGGACCTTTGAAATTTTTTTATTTAATTCATTAAAAGAAGATCGAAAGTGCATTTGTTATATGATTTCAACAACTTTTTTTCTTTGGAATGACTTTTTCTTTTACAATAATACATTATCTGGGATTAACATTTCCTTGAATTTTTACCTAATCATATTAAACAACAAAGACCGATGAAAATTTTAATAAAATGTTCATGATTAACATGTATAAATTTGTATTTTAAAAATAAATACTTAGTTTTCTATTTAATGTAGCTTAAATTAATATGTATATCTATGAAATTATTGAAGAATTTTATATCATCCCTATGAACAAAGTAAAAACTTTTGATATACATTTTAGCAACAAAATTTATTCGATAGAAATATCTTTCAGTAATAACAATTCATGATTATCAATATATTTAATGATGGATCCATTATTGGTACATATTTTTGTTTATAAAAGTGTCACTACACTAAACTAATTTCAAATGCTAGTTTCCAAAATCAATTGTTAGGTCAGTATTTTTGTGGCTGACCGGACTTGTTCTACTCTTTGGATTGGTGATTGGTTATTCGAGCTTATACATGCCTAATCATCTTATTTGGTGGTTAATTAGTCTCAATGACTTGAGTTCCGAACTGTGAGACATCAATCTGAGTTTGTGTATGATTAGTCAACTTGTTTGATGTTTGGTCAGACTCACTAGTTAGCACTCCAGGCTGTAGGACATTCATCCAAATTATGATCAATCAACCTGTTTAGTGTTTGGTTAGGTTCACTAGTTTGAGTTTCGAGTTGTAAGATAATGAACGATCCAGACTATTACATGATCGATCAACTTGTCTGATGACTAATCAGTAACCAGATTCATTAACTACTCAGACTATGGTTGACCGTTCAAACTGTGGTTGACTAAACAACCATACAATGTACTAATTAATTTAAATTAAAATAAAAATGTTTTTAAGTAAGATGAATTCATTTGGGATATTTTGTCCACCATGAAAGACATAATGACATATATCTTCCTTTATTCACGTGCTATCTTAATGGACATGCTTTTTTGCATATTTTTTAGTGGACTCCTCCCTTATCATTATTCTACATGATATTTTAACAACATTTTGTAACAACTTTTTGACAACAGATTATGTGTCACTATTTCATTGGTCCGTATATTTGAAATAGACCAATCACAAGCTACCACATAGGTTGTTGGTAAAAAGTTATAAAAAAAAGTTGTTAAGAAACATTTTCCTATGTTAAAACAATAAGTTGCTACTTTCATTCATATTATAAGTAAAAGAAAATACATATTTTATTTAAATGTAAATAAATTTTGATAACATTTAGTTAAGTTAACAATACTTTTAAAAAATATATTTTAATTTTAAATAATATTTGACTTTTGATTATACTAATATAATATGTGTTTTAAATAAAAAGGTATTGTAGTATTAGATCATAATTTTTAATTACTAATTATTTATAGTATTCTAATAAATATGTTTTAAAAGACAATAAAATCTGATCATATTAAATTGAGATTATAAAAAAAATAAAAAAGAACAATTTGATATTTAAAATTATAAAAATTTCAATAAATTCCTTTTAATTAGATTTTTATGAGTTTTGTATAATGTTTTACTTGTATGTTTTCTCATAAAAACATTTTATTTAAACACGTCAAACTCGCCTTTTATGAAACCATTTTATTTAAGAAATTGACACTCATATCTTTCGTTAAATTTAAATACAAAGCAGGGAAAAAAAGTTTAATTTTTCCAAAAGTAAAAGTGTAAAATAAAATTAGTGTTTGAGGGGTATAGTAATGCTGTTGATAATATAAAGTGGTGTAAAAGTTCGTTTTTACAACTTACTCGAGCCATAAAACACATGATTATGATACAAATTAAGTTTAGATGTACTTTACTTACTTTTAACACTAACACACACTTAGTTTTCATTTTATATTATTTGGAAAGGTTAAAAAATTGAAAGAAGAAACATAACAATTTCTTGATAACGAGAATGTTATTATTTTATTGAGCTGTTTGAATTTATTTTAAAAAAAATATTTAAAATGGGTCATTCACAAACTATCATGTACATATTATAAAAAGTTATAAAATTTTTTTTTTTTCAAATTAAAAACCTAATCTTAGATAATTTCTTTTGTAGAAAAACATATCCTTAAACTCGTGCAATACTATTATCTACATAAACATAAGTTTTCCAATATACAGTGGAAGTGCATTCACAAAATACTATGCTACCATTATAAAAGTAATATATATTAATATAACACTTACAAAATGGGCCAGATCTGGTATTCTCCCATAATTAACCACGAAGACTTGAGCATATCTGATGTAAATTCCAAACAATGACATTTTTAATTTGTGAATACAAAATATTGGAGCGGTGAAAAAATAGATAACTCGGCTAGATCTGGCTCAGCCCACTATGGTCATTTGAGTCAATCCAATCCGGTTTATTTATTAATGGGCTAAAAAAATTAAAACTCGGTCCAACCCATCACGGATTGGTGGGTTAAACGGGACTTAATTATAAGTTTTTTTAAAATAAAAAATATATAAATTTTTTTAATTCAAATCTAAATAAATTCACTCTAAAATGATGTTAAACTCCAAAGATAATTCAAAATATAAAAAAATATCATACATTCCAAGCATAATCCAAAAATAAACACAAAAGGCATAAGTTTTTAATATTGATAATTTTTGTATCACTTGCACATAATTTATAATATTAGAGTCTTGAATAGATAAATCTATAATATTTTTCTCACTTGAAACATTTTTTTTATCCCGTCTACGATATAATAAAAAAATGTTAACTAATAATATTGAAACAAAATAATAAATAATTAAATTAAATTAGGTGAGTTGGTAAGCCAAACTCACCACGGGTTCAACTCGGATGAGCCTAGTTCTAAACGAGCCGAATTGAAAACTAACCCGCATAAAAAAATTACATTTTTCTCAAACCCAATCTGGTTCAAATCTGTGATAGGTCGAATTGACTCGTGGATTATAACCCATTTTGACAACACTACAAAAATATACACTCCAATTTAAACAAACATTATTTTTGGGTAACATGGATTGGCATTTTAGCTCTACCCGACTCTTATTGGAAGAAGATTTTAAATGGAACTCAATATACTAAAACACAACCCTTGATTTTCTTCTTTTTTTTAAACCACCTTAAGTCAATTAAAAGCTGAAATTTGAGTTCAAGTTGAGTTTGTTAAAAAAAATTATTATAAACACGGCTAAAAGAGAAAATTAAAAAAATTAATTAAATTTTAAATTTATGATAAATTTGAGAACTTTTAATTAAATTTTTAATAATTATTTGGGTTTTATTAAGTTTTCCCTTTTTTTTAATTGTGGTTTACTATTGTTTAGGAGAGATAAGAAAAATAATATTTTTTATTTTATTTTAACAAAATATTTACAATATTTTGTTATTTTATAATTAACTTTTTATATTATAATTTATTTAGGTAAAGTAATTAAAATTAATAAGGATATAAACGACAAAAAAAGCTGATTAATTTAGCTCAAAAAATTAGAGATCTTGTAGTTAAACAATTGTTGAAATTTCATGGAAAGTGTTGCATTTGACTAATACAAGGCAAACTGAAATTGAAAACGTCAATGATACGTGAAGAAGCTAGTAACTACGGAAGTTTCATCGACTTAATCACCAAACTTATTCTATCAGATAAAGGTTCCTCAAATCCCATTTTTTTTCTTATTCCTCACAAAACAATCAACAATCCAACATGGCTCAGCTTTCGCCAAGGCTACTTTACTTTCTCTTTTTTCTTCTGATAACAAATTCTATATCTCAAGTTACAGCAGCCAACACTACACAAAACTTCCACTACTTCTGTGATCATGATAACGATAGAGGAGACTACACGGCCAACAGCACCTACCACACCAACCTCAACACCCTTTTGTCCACTCTCGTTTCCAATAAAGAAATCTATTACGGTTTCTACAATTTCACAAACGGCGAAAACACTGATAAAGTGTACGCCATTGGGATGTGTAGAGGAGATGTTGAGCCAGAGAACTGCCGCACATGCCTCAACGGTTCCAGGACCAATCTCACTGAACTTTGTCCAAACCGAAAGGAAGCAATTGGTTGGTACGAGGATGAGCAGTGTATGTTGCGCTACTCAGACCGCAATATATTCGGCCTTATGGAAATTGG